AAATGTGGGCCGAGCCACGTATTATTTCCCATCAATAAGTCCTCCACTTTTTTAAGTTGTGAGAATCATCAACTTGAAAAAGTAAACAAGTCCTCCGAGTGCTATCTTCGATCTTCGTACTTTGGATTCTTGACCGGTTGATATTGTTGCTAGTCCTCCGAGTCTTCATTAGTTCTCCAATTTCTTGAATCAGAAGGTTTTCCTGCAAAAATAATATGCACAACATTTTTTTTTGACCGGCCTATGCCGTGCTCAAATAATTTTATTATCTTAACCGAGGAGCTCGGTGTTAGGGTGATTAAACTTCGCGTGAATAATTATCGTAACAAGAGCGATGTCAGTTCGATTAAGCAACGATGCTTCGAGTAGTTATACGACACCGGAGTTTGTACGATGAAACGGCGGTGCTTCAAGTAGTTATTTCGTCGAGACTGATGTTAATACGAGTCAAGCAAACAATGCGTGACCAAATTAGTATACAGACGACAACGGCGTTAGTTAATAAGAATTGAATCCGATGCAGTAGCTTTGTTGAAGATCAGCGTTAGCCCGGCTGACTGATGTAAATATCTTCATGTCTCGCGGAGACCATCTTCGATCAAAGTGCCTCAAATAGAGGGCTTAAATGAATCGGGCGTCCCCGATTTGAGCTTTGCTCACTTTTTTGCTGAAATCGATGTGCAATCGGTGTACCCAATTCGATTGGGCTCAGGCTTATTGGAAAATATGTGTAAGATTGGTGTAATACCAGTGTACCAGTTCGACTGGGTCACATATTTTCTTTATTATACTGAGCAAGACCGGTGTAGTAACCAGCGTGCCAGGCCAGGCCTGTGTCTCAGTCTTCCAATAAGATAATGCTGCTGGCCGGGCCAGATCAACATTGGAGAATTAACCATGTCGGATGGTTTCGAGCCCTCTCCAATGCCCAAAATGCACCCTTCTTCCAGGGCCCCCTCTTCCGGGTGATTAAGTCTTTTAATGGCCCTTTGATATTTATTATCCCGGGAAGGCCTTAGCTCACCCCCCTGTTCAAGTCTTCCCTGAGAAGGGGGAAATAGGATGCGCCACGGTGGACGATCCCTCTTCTATTTCTTTTAATGGGCATCTTTTAGTCCCCAATCAATTTGACGGCACCGGCTGATTTCCCGATACCGGTCAAACCTCATGGGCCCGTGTAAGTACGGTTCGAACCTTCTTCCAGGTCCAGCCCTCTTGCAGGCATACCCTCTTCCGGGCCCCTCTTCTGGGTTTATTATTTTTTTATTTTATACTGAGCAAGACCGGTGTAGTAACCGGCGTGCCAGGTCCGGGCCTGTGTCCCAGTCTTCTCTCCTTTCTTTGTAAAGTATTGAGCCACACCTGTGTAGCAACCGATCGGACTCGTGTCTCCGTCTTTCCTTTAATTAGGCAAGCTTATTATTTGAGGGACATAAGAGGATCAGGTACGGTCCACTCAAAATGATCCCCCACCCTTTTTTAAGCTTTTTCCCATATGTATTTTTGCAAGCGCCATCCATTGAATAATATAAATGGTCCCACCACTTAGCTTTGCACTTTTCTCCATGGATGTTTTTCGATTCATAGCATGTGGACTGCGACTTGCATCTCATTGAACGGGCCCCTCATAATTGGGTGTATGAAATTATTCAATTAATAATGAATAATTGGACCCCACATGGCATGTGGGGTACTGCACTGTGGACTCTTCATACGGAGTATTTGCTTGGATTCATCTTGGCCGAATAAGCCAGTGTTTTGGAAACCGGACCGGACCGGCCGGTCCAACCGGTTGGACCGTGACCCAGTCACTAATCCGATCCGATCCAATTGATAAACCCAGTTTTCTATTGACCCGTCCAAACCCACCAGACCCGGAGAACCGGCTGACCCGGGTGGATCCGACCGGTTCACGGGTTTGGACCAAAATCTACTTTTTAATTTTAAAAAATCAATGGATGGAGGATGACAGGTTTCGAACCCAAGACCCACTGCTTTCAAAGCAAAGTAGGCCTATTGCCAAGCGAGCTATTCACGTTTTATGTAAAGCCTGGGCAGCAATGCTATATATATACTACTTCACATATGTGATATACAAAACAAACAAATACAAGCAGGTTTTTTCTGCAAGTGTGCATTTATATTTTATTCACTCTATGCATTTTTTAAATATTTTCAAAAAATTAAGAATTATTTAGTTTTTTTTCAAAATCAAATATACACTGTAAATTTAATACTTGAAACTTATTGTTATTTTTAAAACTCAAGTAATATTTAGTATTTATAATTTAATATCCTTATTTTTTTCCAATCATATTACTCGACCAAATATAAAGTTTAAAATGTCAATTGTATAAAACAATACACTATCTAGTCTTTACTTTTTGAGATTATGTGTATCGCCCATTTATTTAGATATTTATTAGAAATTCATTATCAATTCTTAATACTCGTAATAATAAAAATAATCAAATTCAAAATAAAAGGTGTGAAATACCATATGCACAGTGATATTAAAAATTAGATGGAAAAATAAAAAGCAAACTAAATTTTTTATCTAATATATAATATAAAATATTATTATAAATATTATTTGACCGAGTCGTTGACCTCCGGTTTGACCGGTTCGATCGATCAACCCTTGACCCAATACCTCATCCGGGTCGACGTCCGGTCCGGTTTTCAGAACATTGGAATAAGCTAGGCAGCTTCCCGTAGCATTCTTTTTTCTTAGCCACTCATAGAGGAGCGGAGAGGGGACACCCACAGAGGCCGGTAACACCCATCAACCCGCCGATCGCTTTCCCTCGTTTGCACGGCGAAGAATGGACACTTAGCCAAGGCGGCAAGAGAAGTTCACCGGGAGCAGCGCTTCACCGATGGCGGCAGCAGTTCCGGATTTAGCTAGAGAGCATCCTCCCAAGCCGGTTGTGGAAAGTCACACCAACAGTAGCGACATATCGAAGCAGGCGTAGTGGGTTTGAACAACCCCGTAGCAACAAAAATGAACTTCTGCAATAGAACCATGGCAGTGGCCGGTTCTGCACAGAGCAGATGGCCTGCCGCGGTGATGTACTCCAGCCACTTCAATTGAAATTCAACGGCGGTGATGGTTGAATGAGGTGTTCTTGGCGGCAATTTTAGCGGAGACCATAATGATGACGGTTGTCTTTGACGGTAATGGCAGCGTCCGATGAGAATCCTTCAAGGGGAGGATAGGCAAAGGCATTACCTTACAACCGTAAATCTGTGACCGACGTCGCTCCGGTTAAACCGGTCTTCTCCCGCTCAAGATCATCTTTTCTGCAAACGAGTCGTAGTCACAGATTTCTGGCGGCGACGACGACTTCAGCTCCTAGCCCTAGATGCGGACGGCGGTGAATGGCTCCAACGACCAACGATGATTGAGTTCGGCGGCAGCGGCAATCCTGTCGATTGAATTCAGTGGCAGCGGCGGCTCTGAGTAGCGGCAGAGGCGGCAGATCTGAGCGGCGGCAGTTGGTTTGAAGTGCGAAAATGACCAGATTTCTGCGGTGGGAGTGTCAGCTACGAAATCCAGTAGAAATTGGAGTCTTCCGTGGTCCCGTTAAAGCGGTCGTGAGGATAAATAACTGTGGTGGGGATGGCAACGACGAAGTTTGGCTTCGTCGGCAGTAATGGCCTACTCTGGTGGCTTCGGCAGATATGGACGGACAGTTCTCTAGGGATGAGTAGCTAGAGGCTGCCGGCAACGGAAAACTGAAATCATCATCTGGCGATAAACAGAGTGGGAGCAAACTGTGGCTCCCATGTCCATCAAAGCCAAAGATTACCTCAGTGTCGGCAGTGGCGGACTTCTGGTGCTAGGTGTCGACAGTGGTTCCTGATTGCTCCTCTCCCCCACGCTCCTCCAGCCCGTGCTAGATCTCAGGGCCGGCGACGGGGGAAGCAGTGAGAGGCCTGGCGTGTTCGACATGAGACGGAGCCCAGGCCAGCGCCCCCTTGGAGATTGGCTTCTCTCCTTTGACAGCAACGATAATTTCCTCCGATGGCGGGGTAACCGTGTGCGGTATTGAAGAGGCGCGGAGGTCAGATTTCGGTACTCGATCTAAATCTTTCCCCCATTTTTCCAATGCAGTGAGAGGCTCCGTCGAAGTGCTTCTTCTATCGTCGGAATGGGGCAGCCATGACGCCTGAGTCTCCTCCTCGTCGCCGGAAATAGTAAGGTGCTGGAGGAAGGCGTCCGACTGCTGGATGCTGATTCCCGCTGCTGGTTTGTCGTCGAATGGAAGCTTCAGCGGCATGGACAGGAAGAAGTCCATTTTGCGGGCCGGTATTTGGGCCCAAACATTTTTTTCTCTCCTGTTCTCTTTTTTCGCATGGGTAGAATAACAAAACATTTTGATTGTTTTTTGGAAATCAAAATCCGTTTGGAAACAAGGCTCTCTCCCTCGATTTTTTTTTTTGGTTGAGCACCATCTCCTTCAATCTTTTTCAAAGAACAAGATGAGAGCACTAAAGAAAATCATGACCTTTTGCTCAGGTCCCACGGATGGCGCCAAAATGATGGTGTAAATTATCGACCGGTATATCGTTTTAGCCCGGCTAAAACTAAAACGATAAACTAGTCTAAAAAATACACCAAAATATAAACACGGGAATTTTTACGTGGAAACCCAAATCTGGAGAAAACTACGGGCCTTTTTTGGCGGTATCTTGCCAACGGGGGATTTTTATTAATATCGGGGGTGTGTACATGGTACAAGAGTTGGGCTCGGAAGCCATTAATGGTGGAGCTAGAAGCTCTTGAAGAAGAAGAAAATATGCTATCTAGAGAGAGAAAGAGTGAATGGCAGGAGAGAGTGTAAATTTGGCCTCCCTTAACACTGAGGGAGAGCCCTCCTTTTATAGGAATAGCTAGAGCATCTTTGGAGGAATATTCTTTTATTCCTCTATTTTATTAAACACGTCCGGTTTGACTATTTTTCGTAAAATAATTGGGAAATGTGGGCTGAGCCACGTATTATTTCCCATCAGAAACAAATAAAAAATAAAATAAAATTTCGAGTATAAGAAAACCCTCCAAATAGTACTAAATCATTAGACATATTCCCAAAGTAGGAGTCCATAACTTAAATACCCAAAATAGGAGTTGCAAATCTCCTCTTTGATTTGATTTTGGGCGATACTTTTGTTTCCTTCCAGCCAATCTCTTTTGTTTCTTTGAGACGGCCACAATTGGCTAAAGTTTTCTTCCCTTTCGATCTCCTTTGCTGACACATTCTTGATGTTATTGCCATTTCCGTTAGCACTTTCACTGTTGCCGCCGCCACTGTCGCCCATCCGCCGCCATTGCCATTGTTGCCACCGACATAACCGTTGCTAACAATGCCGCAGCTCACAGTAGCGCCCATACCTCCACTATCCCCACCAACAACGCCCCTTCCGCCACTTGCAGCACCCTTGTTGTGGCTGTCGCTGCTACTATTGCTGCCACCGGCAGTGCCCTTACTTCCACTCTGCAGCTCCCATACCGCCACTGTCCACGTCCATACCCCTGCCACCACTGCCATTAGATATTCATACAGTGTCAAACAATTACTATATGGAAAATATAACAACACATAATGCGACACTTGAAACTGCATAATGGTATCCATCTTAATGTATAGAGTCACACACGTGAATGGATAAAGCATAATGCAAAGCATAATAATGCATCATGCAATGCATGGCAATGCATCATGGCAAATATGCCAATGTATAATGTCATTGTTGTCCCTGTTTTGTTCTATAGTTTACTTAGTCTTATATATTGCATATTGCAATCAGGGGAGTAAAAATCTTCTAGGTTGTGAATGGTCACTTCTTCCAAATAGACAACTAGTTTAAAATTTTATATTTGTTAGAGGTTGTAGTATAGTAGTAACCAAAACATATAAGAAGGTCTTGATTAGTTATGCTATTTTTTGGAAATTGATAGACAACTTTTAAAGCCTTCTTAAAACTCATTCTTGATTTCAAACTAATGCTAGAAAATGCACAATATATGCACTATAAATAACTACTTGAGAATTTTTGCTAGAGGATGTTCTATAATAGTAACGAAAACATATAAAAAGGTCTTGATTAGTTATGCTGTTTTTTTGGAATTGATAGACAATCTTTAAACCCTTCTTAAATCTCATTCTTGATTCCAAACTAATGCTAGAAAATGCACAATATATGCCATAAATAACTACTTGAGAAACTGAGCATTAGGCAATGAATTACTAGTTTATAACCCTTAGCTACTGGACAAATGAATGAACAATCTCAGCAAATCAAAGAGAAGTGAAACTATTAGAATCAATATGTATGACAAATGGCAAACCAAAGACCATGCCTTATAGTCAATTAGTGCAGAACACATGAATCTCATTAATTCCTCCTACGCCCTTATGTTCAAGCAAAATGAGTGGGCCGGAGAAAGGAGATTTATTGGGTGAGTCAACCACTCCTATTTTAGGGGGTTTATGTTTTCACTCCTATTTTGAGTTTTAATCAATGTTTTTACTCCTATTTTGCTCCTTAACCCTTCGAGTATTTAGGAAGGAAGTACTTTGGAATACTATATTACATGTGTATGCTTCCTTCCCAATTTTTTCATGGCGTCTTTTGTTAATGGTCGGTCACATTTGTACAAGTCATGCTGGAAATAAACTTAGTACAGTTGACACTATAGATGACAATCATCTGAAATTGTACACAGACAAATGAAAATTATCTGTGAATACATAAAGTTCACATAGATTTATTGTCAGTATATGTACAAATTTACAGAGAGTTGTCATTCATAGTGTTAAGCATCATGGACTTCTAGCCTTTTCACATTGGAAGATTTAAATAAAATGTTAAAGTTTTTTCTTTAATTTGTAACTTATTTTTATTGAACTCTAAGTCTAATGGAGTATTTTGTTTTTTTATACTTAATTTTGTTATATTACGTCCTTTTAACACCAACTGGATGACAAAATATATGACACTAAAATTTAGGATATCATAATGTTTTAATTAATGAATGAATTGAGTAGTATCTTTTAATCCTTTGGTTCCCATGCCATGGCATTGATTCTCAATGTCATGAGATCAATGTCATGAGATGATCTGGGAGTGTTCCGGTATCACGTTTGTAAAATTGATGGTTCTTACCCTCCCTAACTCTCCTAGTGAACTCCTCCACCCTGTCCGGACCCAAACACACATCCACCCCCTTCAGTTGCACTCCCAAATTAATTTTGAATTTGGAATCAAAATTTGACTCCAAAGTCAAAATTAACTTAAAGGGGGTGTGAATGTTTTAGGTCAGGACAAAATAGTAGAATTAGAGGATGTAGGAACCGTCAAATTTACGAGCTAGTCATTAGAGTATCTAGACACTTTAGAACAAGGAAAAGAGATAAGCCCCACTCTTGAGAAACACTTATTATCATAATTATTCTTTAACGTAGTTGTCAAGAATCAAACTCGTGTCTAACCTCTTTCGTATTCTTACTTAACCAAGTGAATTACGTACCCCTTAACATTTTATTTTAGCACAAGAGATGATTAGGAAAAGTTTATGTGAGTTTTAAAAAATTATATACTCTCTAACAAAATACTGCAGAACCCCAATGTACACTACCAAAGTGGGCATGTGTATTTAAACTTTTTTTTTTTCTTCTCAAATTTGTAAAATCAAAATGTGTAAATATATTTGCGTTGGGGCACTCCCTATGAGATGATGATTACATACAGTGAGAGACAGAGACTTTGAGGAGTGAATAAGTGAAACTGTGGAAACAACAACCAAAAGCCCTAAAAACTTGAAGGTAGACCCGACAAATTCAAGACTGTTTTCGGGCGTTTCTTGGAATCCAAGAATTAACTTGGAGTAAATTAAAGGAAACGGATTTTATTTTTTCTTAAAAACAAATCAAATCAAAATTTGGGGTTTCGATTCTCTCCCTTAAAACTAGAGAGTCCAACAATCTGCCCACTATGGGCTTCTTTTTAATTTTCTCTGGAAACTGAAACTGCAGCAGACCAAAGGCCAAACCTGAAAGCTCTTCAATGGCGGCTGCAGATGAAGAACCCAAGAGAAGAGGCAAGGGGGAAAGGCATCCTAAACTTCCCTCAGGGGAGAGAGTTGAGGTAATTTCCAGTTTCTTTGACTTTCTTGGGTTAAAAATCCGATCTTTATCTAATCTGTTCAATATGAGTTTCTTGATTAAGGGTGTGATTAGGGTTTATTAATCAATTGATTTTTCACATTGAACTAATGGGTAATGCTGGAATGGGAATTAGGTCTATTTTGGTTCTGCGGTTGCATGTTGCTCTCATTGAATTTCCATGGGATTGTGGGATTCAACTTCTTGGATTGAAGCATATATCATTTATTAACCTGATACTTTCTTTTCTTGTTACACAGATGCCTTCCGAAAAATTGTTCAATTTTTTGAATTATTTTAACCTTAGGCATAACCTTCCACTTCTCAATGTCTGGGAAACTGAGATTTTGCTTAAGCAATTACAAACTTATGCAGGTGAGGTCGTTAGATGAAGGGTTCCTAGGGTCATGGCACACGGGTAAAGTGATCCACGTCAAAAGATCACTACGTATTGTGGAATATGATCACATTCTGTGTGATGACGGATCTTCCAACTTGGTTGACACCCTGTCGGTCAGTCCTTTGATTGACGGCGTCTGTACAAAATCTGATCAGTGGGACCCAAATACTCATCGCGGTGCAATAAGGCCATTGCCACCTCCAATCACTTTCAGCAAATCAACACCACTTCAGTATGGACAATGTGTAGATTCTTTTATCCAGGATGCCTGGTGGGAAGGTGTGGTTTTTGACCACGAAGATGGTTCTGAGGAGAGGAGAATCTTTTTCCCAGATCAGGGTGATGATATGATGGTCCGTGTTGATAACTTGAGGGTAACCCAAGAGTGGGATGAACTTACTGAGGAATGGAAGCCTCGTGGGAACTGGGTTTTCCTTGAACTAATCAATGAAGTCAAAAAAGAATCGCCCCTTTTTGTCTCGGTGAAACAAATTTGGTACGAAGCGAGGGAGAAGAACGAAAATAACAAGCTAATGGAATGGACTTTTTTTGTTAGGGATTATTGGAGGGAATTGTTGTCCCAAGTAATATTTGACAACCTGAAGTTCACTGTGGATCAGTTCTTAGGGTTATTGAACTCCTCAGAACGCTTTGTACGAGAAGGACCGCTTCTGGAATTATCTGAACCTATTCTCAAGGCTCTATTGAAACCAGAAGCATCTCCAAGTGTTTCCAGTCATCAAATTGTTGAAGAACAGAAAGCACTTCCTGATGGTCTTCTGCATAATGTTGAGATTGGTTCGAGTAGTAAACGTGGAAGAAAAAAACACAGTAAATATCTCAAAGCTTCTTGTGAGAAGCTTGAATCTTCTGAAATGAGAAAGCGTAAATCGCGGAAATGGCATCCATTAGTTATTGAGCCGGAGTTTTGCCCTGACACAATCATTAAGTTCAGAAGAATGGCGCTGAGCCAAAACAAACCACGACAATTGTCCATAAAAGTCA